TCCTAGCATAGATTCAGACTTTAGGATCTTAAATATCTATATAAATTAGGCTGATTTTTATGAAAATTGGTAAATAATTTTATATAGTAGTACATTTTTAATTAGTGGTTCAAATTTTTGTTAACCCAAACTATTTTAGTAACAATCTAATCTTTTTGTGGTTATACATGTTAAATATCTGAAAAAGTACAAAAAGAAATATATTTTTGTTCTTTAAAGAAGTACATATTTGTTTACTCATTGGATGTGTTTTCTCTGATGACTAATGTAATACAGTAATTATGTAATACGCATACACACCCTACAATATACTATTACCGGGAATTCCAAAAATGAATTTGTCACGTTTGAACCCGATATTTCGACATCCGGTGATCCCGTTCGAACAAAGATATCACCATTAGATTCGTCACGACTATACGAATCTAATGGTTATATCTTTGTTCGAACGGGATCACCGGATGTCGAAATATCAGATTCCAAAGTGACAAATTCATTTTTGGAATTCCCGGTAATATATTGTAGGAGTGTGTACATGTAATTAAAATTTTTATTTTATAGCAATAGTAATATTCATAACGATAACGATAACGATAATAATAAAACTTAATAAATAAAACCTTATCAATAAAGCTGTAGGACCTCTTTTCTAAGAATAGATCATATGAATGTTCGAATCAAGATTTGGCTTGTAGGTAATAAACTTTCTCAAATAAGAAACTTGGTAGTCTGATTAAAAGAACAGTCAATAGCGATAGCGATAGTTGAACAAAGATCAATATCTCCAAGAACCCATATCATGTTATATTATTGAATTGAACTATATCATACTAGACCTGATCGATCGATATAAAAATATAATTACGAGATCGATAAGAAATTAGATGTTCTCATTGCTCAAATTCTGAGCACTCAAATTCCATTCCTGGGTTATTATATTTCAAACTTATTTTTCTATAACTTTTTGTTGTCGAAAGCATATCGATATTTTTTTGAGATTTACATTTCAAATTATTATTATAAATAATGAGAACTTTCCGTCAAAAAATCTGAATCTATATTCAATTTCAATCAAATGGAAAAAAGAATAATTATTCTTATTCCACTTTTCATTGTCATCAGTAATACTATTAAATTCCTTTTCCGTTTCAATTCCGATTCCAATTCCAGATGAGTATATAAAAAATCATTATTTAAAAATAAAATAAAATTTTTAACCAGAATTTCTCTATTTTATAGCCTTTTTGATGACTGTTTTTTCTCTGACTTTGTTCCGTTTCCAAAACCGAACCGCAACCGGAACCGCATTTGAATTCTTGGAGGGCTATGTAAATATCGGGCAACCTAAAGATGCTCTGGAACTCAGCTGATTTCTGTTCATCACCTTATAGTGAATTTTTAATCACGCTGTATAATTATTTGGTAAATTTTTAAATTGTTCTCTTATAATTGAACTAGTACTATATAGTATATCCATAAGTATTTGAAAATTCATCGTTATTATTTAGTAAATAAATCTGCTTAACTGTGTAAAAGTATCAGGAATTTGCCTAGATTTTAAAAAATGTGATTGTGTAGGCAAGAAGATCTGATATAAAATCTCATGGATCCTGTCATTTGTAATTCCAGCGACATTGTTAACAGTACAAATTCATCAAAGTCTGTTGTTATTATTTTTCTCATAATTTGATAAAAAAGCTGTTTAAGTTATAAAACTGATAATTTCACAGCATTTACATTGAATTGTATATATTTAAACAATTGTTATAGATCCAGAACAGATTGAATTGAATTTATGAAATTCATATTACAATCTGATCTTATATACGTAATCACATCAATTGAAACATGAAAAATGACATTCATTAACGTTAATTATACCAATAGTTTGTACATCAAACTACGTACGTATTGAGATTCATTCTATAATTCCTATTAGCATTATTTTTCCATCTTTATTAATTTCGACTTCCCCCTGCTAATTATTAGGTTTCACGTCAGTCTCCATATTCTCGTTATTAGATTCACTTAATTCGCCGCTTTATCAATATTTTCAGTCCTGTTAGAAAGATAATTATAATGTAACCATCAAACTCTATGGGACAGAAATACAGTTTGTATGAATGGAATTTATTTATAGTATTAATTAATATGGCAATTAAATGACGATTGCTAACAAAGTTGATATAAGTATTAAGCAACGTATTGTTCTAAAAACTTCCTGATGCAGCAATAAATTCGAATAAATTCATCTATATTGTATCATTGAGATAAAAAGAATCATTAAAATGTTATGTTTTATAATAGTTCGATTACAACTTTCCAAACCCTTATAAAATGCATAATGCATAATGCATAATGAATAATGAAATTGCTTTTTTATATGTTATCGAAAATTTCCCATGAATTTTGGCATTTAACGATAATTGACATTGATAAATACCGATAGTAATTAGACAGTTGCACTAAAAATCAAGACATTTTTCATTAACATAACAGTAACACAAAAAGTTGCCGTTGACTGTCTTCTTCATAACAACGATTTTACCAGGACGACCCCTAATGTGCTGGTTATGTGATAATTTTTTGATGATGTTGCGATGATGACCAATTAAATTGCAAGCTCTAATGTGTAACACTAAAATTCACAAATCAAGATACATGTATGTATATTTTTGAAATAAAGTTTGTATCTCAAAATCTAGCCTATGAAACTATCCTTTGTGTAACAAAATATTTCCTTGACCCAGATCCAGATCCTAACGTATGATTGTTAACTGGTTCCAAATGATCCAAATATTCTCATGAAAATTATTAGTTTTAGATAATTATTTCTTACAAGTTACTAATTAAACTTGCTTATGGTAATGGTTTAATATAAATTACATATTGAAAATAAGTAATATAACTTCCTGAGAAATCAGAATCTTTTAAAATGTAGAGTTTGGGACCAGCGCAGGACCGAAACAGTCCCAGAAAGATTGCTGATTTTGAAGATAATTTTTATTTCACAAACCATTAATAAAACTTATTTATCACAACATTTTAAAAAGAGTTACTTATTATAGTTAAGCAATTTGACTTTTCTAAAATTGTTGGAACTGATTTAGGACTGATTAATAATCCTACCCTAACCCTTTTTCCATCGTTAACATCATAAACAAATTATTACGTGACCCGCACATTAGGGGAATCGTCCTGGCAGAGTTAATAACAAATACGTATATCGATACTAAATATTTCATGTTTAAAAATCCGAAGTCATGTGTCACTTTAATTATCATTACGCACATTCAACTTCGGATTAATGGGAGTCACTATGTACATAATATGCAAAACAATAACGATAAAGTTTGTAGTATTAGTATTACATTCGATATGTTATACGTATGAAAATTTCCGATTGACAAATTCTCACTATTGCTAGAAAAGGTACAATACGATTCAATTGTAACAAAATTAGAATAATGCATACATGTTGTAGGTTTAGAATTCAAATTCTAAAAATTTACATCAAATTAAGAGGTAAACTTACAAATTAATCAAGTTTTACTTTATACTGTCGCGCGAGTAGATCGTAATTAGGTGTAATTGACTCATACAATGATAATTTGGGAAGTGAATAGATTGATTTATGTTCGTTAGTTTCTAATTCCGGTGCCGATATCTATGGATATCGTTCAATGTAACAGTCGAGTGGGTGCTTCAGAAGAGAATTTGGATGGTTCGGGTTTAGGTAGGGTATAATTAAGGATTGAAATAAAAATAGAAAACAAAAATGAGATAAAATTGGAATTAAATATAGCACCGCATAGAGATTTTGAGCGAATAAAATAGACTAACGGAATCGGGCCAGGCAAGCTTTACCAAAATTGTGAGATAAAAATTATCTCAAACCTGTAAAACGAGCATAATTATAATTTGTGCTCGGTTCTGGATCACATGCACATGAAAAACTACATGTAATAAGGATGCACAAATTTTAGATCAGCCCGGCAAAACAAATCCGACACAAAAAAAATAAAAAATGTGAAAAATACGGGAAACATATGTCTAAATTTAACTTGAAGCTCTAATAAATATGTCGGGGAAGCACAATTTTACATATAATTTTATTCTTCACTCTAACCCTTATCCTAACCCAAATGGAAAAATTGACCTTTAATAGTTGCCAGCACACATATGATTGCGCGCATTCATATTTGTTTGTTATCATGTGATCGCGAACCAAGCACAAATTATACGTAATTATGCCTGTAACGGTAACAGTAACTAATTTTAAAAACAGATTATCATATCGATATTGCGTGTCTTCTTATTTTCAAATACTGTATCTATTTTTTATGAACGAGAAATAGTTAGACATTTAAATCAGAATCTTTCGATTTATTTCTCTTTCTTAAAAATTTAAACAAAATATCACTAGTCTACTTAGAAAATCTTTTTTTAAAAAAAGGATTAAAGGCAGCAAGAAAACAGAATATTTATGCGGGTGTGGTGTGAATAGCATAAATATTTCAATATTTAGAAATTCATCGTCATTCTCATTTATGCATATAATTTTATATCTCCAGCCGTTTTGAATCTATACAAAGTCTGCATTCAATATCACCCAAATTTATATGTCACTGTAGATTATTAATGGATGAATGGAAACGTTTATAAAATGTTAATAATAATGAATTACTTAACGACATTATTTTATAATTAGTATGATGCGCACCATCTAAAGTCATAAAACATTTATATTCTATAAAATATATAAACTTCTCGACTAGGAAGTAAATTTAAATTTTAATTCGTAAATATGGTGGAAAAAGGCTTACTCTACCATATTTACGGATTAAATTTTGAATTTACTTCCTATTTGAGAAGTTTATACATTTTATAGAATATAAATGTTTGATGACTTTAGATGGTGCGCACCATAGTATAATTTCATAATTATTGAAAAGTTGATCAGTAATGAGGGTGTCATAATAATGGGGGTCGACTATATTAGACTTTTTTATTGTTCTTCTCGTCTGTTTCTTGTGGTAATTTTCATTGGCATTCTTCAGCTTATTTTATTATCGTTATAAATGCAAACTATTAAAATATTAACGTCATAATGGAAATCATATATAGGACTGTTCACATAACGACAAGCGCAGAGCGACCTGATTTAGAATTACGTTAGCAATGCCCTCGAACGAGATACATTCGAATAAGAATGCATTGGATCTTTATCATACGATGCATTGATATCAATCGCGAAAAGATTACCTGATATATATTATTATTGAACATAGGTAATATCAGACAAGCCAGTGAGGCACAAGGGTGATGAAGAAAAATGGATGATGGTTCGTGAGGGATAATGCACATGAGAAGAATAGAAATAAGATTAGTTACTCGAGACAATTATAAAATTGATTCATCTGTCCAAAAATTAGTTAGTTTTAGCTAGTTTTAAGAATGCTTAGATGGCTCTTATTATTCTCAAATCAATCGTTTTAAACGCTTAAATAAAACCGGAGTTATAGTGATTAATTAGTTGAATGATCCAAGAAGAGATCACAAAAGTATACACAAGAGTAAGACTGTTAAAAGTCTGGTTCGGTTCGATCGGCTCCAGAAGCAGAGGTTCGTTCTAAAAGACAGACTCGAGCACAGTCACTTACATCTATTAGACTTTGTATTGATGCACCGTGTCTCAAACAAACATACATAACGATGACGATAATAATAATGAGATAAAAGGTAATGAAAAATAAGATTTTCTTTTTTTTAATAATTAAATCATTAAATGTGACTGCTATTATCACTTCCTACCAACGAGGAAAATAATTTAAACAAGAAATTTATGATTTATTAAGAAAAATAGGGATAATGGGTCACCGTATACCGTGAGTATATTTCACAAGTATTGTCGAGTTATTATGTATCGGAATTATGCTGCCACTAGATGTAAAATCGGAACTCAACATGACCATATATAAACATTCATTCTCCATTTTCGAAAAGCTATTGTGTATTACATAACGCTGATGCTTTACGCCAGGGCCTGTGATGAATAAGATACATGAATAAATAATACAAATCAAAATGAATTAATGTCAATTCAGATTCGGTGCAACTCTTGAGTTTGCAAAATAGAAGAGGCAGTTGCGTGAGGCAACCTATGATGAGAAATCATCATCATAATCGTCAACAACAATAACAGCAGCGATTACAGTAATAGTAACAATAATTAGAATAATCCTAGAGCGCGTGGCAGTTCAAAATGAACTAGACAGTCAATTGACTTTAAATCAAAAGATTATCTATAAAAATACAGGAAGAAAAAAGCTTGATGCTTGAAATTTGAATTAACCTAACTTTTAGCAATCTTATCCAATCAAGGTCGAAGAAATCGAACAAAAGTTTGACATTGAATGATAAACGGGATCACGAAGGAAACAGATTTAAACGACGTAAAGAACACAAAGTTGCATTAAAAAGCGTTATGTTGTTCAAAGCAATCACAATAAAGTTTAAAAACGAGGTAAATATGAACAATTTCAAAAGTACAGTATAAGCAAGATCCTTTTTGTGTCCTAATACAAACAAGTTTTTTCAAAAATAGATTCTAACTGTTCTAAAGTGCAGTTGGGGTACTTATTTTGGAATAACTAAAAATCCAGCTACGTACAAATGAATACTCAATAGCGATAGTAATGGATTATATTAATTCCAACTATGAAAAATTGAATTGGGAACAAAAATTAAGTTATTTAAATGACATTATCAATGGGTTAATATCAATTCATACTAAGGAATTTGTGCATCATGACTTTCATCCTGGAAATATACTAATGCATGGTACTGCGAGAATTGCTGATTTTGGACTTACCAGCCCAGCAGATATAAAAAAGTCTAATGACAAAATTTATGAGTTCTTCCTTATATTAGTCCAGAGGTCCTAAATGGAAAGCCATACACTAAAGCTACAGATATTTATAGTTACTGGATGATTGTATACGAGGTTGTCACAGGTAAACGACAATTTGGTGTGCGAAGTCATGATATAGATCTCGTATTAGACATCTACAAAGGGGTATGACCTAAGATACCAAATAATGTTCCGTGATGGTGCAAATTTATTCTTGAAAAATTGTTGGAAACATATTTCAGAAAACAGACCAGCTGCTGAGGAACTTGAAAATTTTATCAGCTCTATCTTCTATATCGGTGATCTAGATGAGAAGTGAAAACTAAATACATGTATTTGCATTTTCAGTACTACAGTTCTTTATAATATCCTAAAACATATGAAGAAATTAAGGAGTGTCTTAAACTAGAAAGTCGGAACTTAAACGAGCTTGACGCGATGAAATTGCAAAAAAGTATTCTTACAAATACAAGCAAAAAACAAAAAATCCACCCAAATGCAGTTTATACCAGTCGAATCTTTACTTCAAAACTAATTTCAATTACAACTGACACAGGTACTTTCTATTCTAAATCTAAATCATATAACATTTCACGTTAATTAAAATTTATATCGAATGCTTAGGCTATACAAGTGTCAGTTTGTATGTTCCAAACGAATCCGATTTTAATATACCACACGAAATCAAAGGGAATGAACATATATCGAGAGTTTTACAAGAAAAATTACTAGTTCATGATGAAATATAAAAAAAAATAAAGAATGATGCTGCTTCTTGTTAAAACTACTTTACTATCAAAATTTTTATTAGCAGTCTAAAATCATTAGAAATTCTGACGGTAATTGGTATTGATACTTCGAGTTAAAGCACAACGACGACAAAAACCAGTTTTCTATTACTATTGTTATTGTTTTTCAACTTCTTTGTTACATTTATTCTATTTAATTACATATGTTCGTTTATTAACATTAATAGCAACAACACATTAGAGATTTTGATGAAAAGAATCATCACTGTTCATTTGTTTTCTTAATAAAACCATAAATTTATTTATACAAACTCTCACAATTGTGTATTTCTGATTTCATCGTAATTATAAATTCAATCTACGTACTGTGATTTCGTTCGTCTCGATATTCATTAACGTTAAAAAATTAGTAACAGGAAAATTTCCAAATGAATAAATACGTGAAATATATAATCTGCTTAACGTTAAGCTTGACAAAATGAATGAAATACATGCTTAGCAGATTCTTCACTTTCCTTGCTGAGGCTCTTTCGAAGTCGGATATTAATGTTTCATAAAATATTCACTAGCAATCATCAAATATCTTGTATTCTAAGTATTTTTTCGTTATTAATTGTCCTAAAATAAATTTGCAAATAGACTGAGCGGGATTCATAACGATAACTGTCAAATTATCCATAACGATGATGATGCCTTAAAAAACGACACTCTCTATTCCACGTCCCGGACTCTACACACGAAAAATAGTGTTAACCGACAGTGTCACATACAAAATTCTTCAAAACCGCCGGTGTGACATCTGTATGAATCCGGTACTAAAACACGAATGCAGGATCAGCTGTCAATAGTTTGGCAAGAATGCACAGTACGTATAAGTAATTACTGTTTTACACGTGAGGATTTTGAATGCGTGCATTATTTTCATGATTTCTAGTACGTAGTTAGTATGATAATAACATGTTACGTAAATAGTAGATAATACATCAATAATCTACATGTATTAAATTCTACTTGTGTAACACGTTATGATCACACCACGATCATGTCGTGATCATACTGCGATCGTGTCGTGATCATACTGTGATCGTATCATGATCATAATAATAATATTTGACTCATAAAAGTCTGACACACATTGCAAATTTTTGTTATTGACAAAAACCAAGAGTAAGTGTTCAGGGAATTTCTTATCTATTTCTTTTTATAGACAAAAGACTTGAACTCTTAAAAATAATAACGATAATTACGATCACACAAAAACGGTTTTTCATTAACAATGCGATTCTACATAAAAAATGCCTTTTCTGGTATAAAGGAGCTAACCGACAATCGATATAACGATTAAAGTGGGGGAAATGGGGGGAGAGTTTTACAAGTGATAATTTAGGGGGAGAATAATTGTACGCAATAATTCAAGTTTAATTTCGCTTGGAGAACAATTGTACGCAATGTGAATTCTCTTTTTACAAGTAGCTTATTTGGGGAGTAATTGTTCGCAATATGAATTCTGTTTTTTATTAGTAGCCCATGGGCCATTCTTTTATACATTTTTTGTGTGTTATTATTTTTGTACTATCAAAGAAAAGAAAGCATAACGTTTTACTAAAATAAAATAACGGACGCTCTATCATCTATAGAAGAAACTGTTACAAAATCGAAAACTAATGGAACCGTGCCGAAGATTGATAAAGAGATGCTGAAAACTGATGCAGAAACGCTGAATGATGAGGAAATGCTGAAAAACAATGAGGAAATGCTGAAAAATAATGAGGAGATGCTGAAAAATAATGAGGAGACGTTGAAAAAAGAACGCGGGGAGTGGCATAATTCCGTGTCGCATATTAAAAGGGGAGCTTGTTGTTTTTACTAGCATGTCGTCATGCTGAAAAATCTACAAGCTGCATTTGTTGACATTCGGGACGAAATTTGCTGCTGTTTTGCTGAATAATCTACAGCAGCAGCATTGTTGATAATTGTGGTGGGAAGCAGCTACTGAAAAGTCTACCGGATTAGGTATTGTTGAAGATCGTGATGGATTAATCTGACGTTATTGACATCCGCGACTCGTTTTTCTGTCGAATATCCGAAGAACCGTAGTCGAGGAAGTTTGTCCGCCGGCGGTAACAGTAGAAAGTGCTGGCAAAAAATTTCCAGTTCCCGATGATTCTCTTAAAATTATAATATATAATATTAAATAGAATTTCGGTTAGGGTTAGGTTTAGAGTTAAGGTTATCGTATAGTAAATGAGAATGTAAATATAGTAAAATTTTGCAAGGAACATTTTTTATTAAAGCATAATAAATAATTTCATAGGCAAAGTTTTGAATTTTTGCGTTGTATATACATTGATCTTGCGATTTGATTGGTGCATAATTTTAAGGGGATATGAAGTAGTGATTCGGACTAAACCGAAATATTTACCTAAAGCCCAAATCAAAATGGTCCTAAATAAATTTAGCCCAAACATAGCAAAACCGTAATTCCGAAAGTCTGAATATAATCCGAAATATCTGATATTATCTGATATTATCCAAAATGTCCGATATTATTCGATATTATCCGAAATGTCCAATATTATCTGATATTATCCGAAATGTCTGATATTATCTGATATTATTTGATATGATCTGAAATATAGAAATTTGGGCTAAATTATTTAGTAAATTATTATTTATAAACTAATTTTTTTTTTACAAATTCTAAAGTTCTAAATTATTTTAATTTATCTAATATTTTGTCCAAGATCTAGATATTTTGCCAGGTATAAATATTTAATTTAGTCTTTTGTGTCCTAAAGTTCTATGATGCAAAAAAATCTAAAGTCATCAAACGTTTGTATTTTATAAAATGTATAAACTTCTTTACTAAGAAGTAAATACAAAATTTAATCCGTGAATATGATAGAATAGGCCTTATCTGAGCATATTCACGGATTAAATTTTGTATGTACTTCTTAGTAAAGAAGTTTATACATTTTATAAAATACAAACGTTTGATGACTTTAGATTTTATGCACCATACCATAAAAATATCTGTGCAGAAACTCTTAAATCGACAATATGTTTCATGTTAAAAATTCTATCAACTTCTTAACCAAGAAGCAAATCCAAAATTCGACCGGTAATATTATCAAGGAAGTCCTTTTCTTTAATATTACCGGTTAAATTTTGTATTTATTTCTTAGTTAAGAAGTTGATAGAATTTTAGAATGAAACAAGAGTTCTTGCACATGTAACTAATATCGGACAATATTGGACAGTTTTGGATATCGGTTTAGTTTCGGAATTTAGGAATTAGGTTTCGGCATATGAATAAAATCCGAAATGGTTCGGATTTAGCATTAGAATTTAGCCTCAGAATTTAGCCTCAAAATTCTGTATTGATCGTCGTAAATACATATACATATACATATACATATACATATACATATACATATATACATATACATGAACGTCGCAATACGTACGTATTTTATTATCGTTATCGTTTTAAATAAAACACTGCCATAACGATAATAATAATTTATTTTCATATTACATGTATTACTAACAAAATTACGTATACAATAATTTCCTAAAACAAAAAATCCAAATGTCGAACACAATCGAAAAAATAAACCCAAATCTTCCGATCTATATCGAAAGATGTCAGAAACCGGATAATGAACACCCAATTAATGTGGTGATAATGTTCGGATGGACGAATAGTAATCTTGGAAATGTTTCAAAAATCGCGTCTTACTGGCGAAAGAAAGGAAACGCTCATATTTTATATTGGATTGCTCCGTATTTTCCTTACATTTGGTTCACTAACAAGGCTACGCAAGCTTGTGCTGCATTTATTCCGTATCTTCAAGAATTTGGTGTTTTGCCGACTACAAGTGAAAACGATGACTCGATCCATAGTCCGACAAAACCAAAATTGATTGCGCATGCATTCTCAAATGGCGGAACATTAGGCCTCGCTGGTCTTGCCGAAGCATGCAAATTACAAAACCTTCCATTACATTATTCTGCTTTAATCATCGATTCCGCTCCCGGGTATGCAAGCATTTTCACTGTTTATAGAGTATTTACAGTCGCACAAAAAAATCCCATCAAAAAAGCTTTTCTAGCAATTGCTATTGAATTTCTCTTTTTATTCTTTGGACTTCCATCATTGTTGCTTTATTCTCGCTTTACGGGTCGAAAGAACATTATAGAATTCTTTACAAATGTTTTGTTTGAGCATAATGCCGCAAAATATTCGCCTAGGTTATTTATTTATTCGAAAACTGACAAGTTGATTCCTTCATCATCGGTAGAAGAGGTACTAGCGAAAAGTGTAAGATTGTGTGGTGATAAAACGAGAAAATTGTGTCTTGAGGAAAGTGATCATGTGATGCATTGGGCTAAGCATACAGATATTTATGAGAATGCAGTAGATAGTTTTATAGATGAATTTAATGTACAGTCAGATCTCCCTATAATCACACCACATGAACAATCGAAATTGTAATATGGAGGTCTGACTGTACTTTGATTATGTATTAGAAAATACCTTATATCAATATCGATCTTTTATATTCCCATAAATCAAAATCTGTAATTTTATTCAATATATATATATATATATATTAAGCAAGAAGATTTTAATTTATTTTAATTTTACCTTTTATTTTACCTTTTATCTTTTATTTTATCTTTATTTTACTTTTTACTTTTTACCTTTTATCTTATCTTTTATTTTACTTTTATATAAACACAAAATATCAAACTAAAAATAATGTACTCAGAGAATTTCAGTCGCACAATCCATACATAGGCACCACTTCTCAACGTGCTTTATACGTATCGGTATGTATTTCTTTTTAACAGCTATTTTGGGATATTTCTTGTTGGGAAGATGGCATGGCATTAATTAAGGGGTCGATGAGTACATAACAGTCACAAGACATGTCCATATACAGGGGTTTGAAATGTGGTTCATATGGTGCATAACATCTAAAGTCATCAAACGTTTGTATTTTACAAAATGTATAAACTTTTTTACAAATAAGTAAATACAAAATTTAATCCGTAAATATGATAGAATGCCCTTTCTGAGCATATTCACGGATTAAATTTTGTATTTACTTCTTAGTAAAGATGTTTATACATTTTATAAAATACAAACGTTAGATGAATTTAGATTTTATGCACCATATAACGATAATTACTATTCTTATCGCTATAACCTTCAATTTATATTAATGTGACTTATCTCATCATTAATATATGAACATGTACATGTACATGTATTCCTGTATCATTTTTCATGCATAAATCGATACAAACAAGTGAACAACGATTTTCAAATACATGTATAAATAAATTTTTTAAATAAAACAACATAATCATAATAAATTCAAAGATGACATCTAAAACTTCGGAATGCTGGCGTTGTCAGTATATACGTGCTCAGTTCACAATCTTCATGATTGAATTGAATGTACCAATTGTCAAAAAAGGAATCGCTGTCATTAATGTAGTCTATATCACAAAACGAATTTATGTTGGATGGTCTTGCGGAAATAAAGATATCGACAGTCTAATAAATGAATGTGACAGAATTGCTGGTGAAAATAGTAGATATCATTCTTACGAATGGATCCCTTTTGAAAGATTTACCAGTGCTGAATATCGATATCTTGCAAAGGAGGTTTGGATCAATTTATAAAGCATCATTGTGCTATTACAAGTGGGATCATGAAGAAAGTAAATTTAAACGAAAGGGAAAAACCGACGTTGAGTTTATAGATGAAGTAAAATGAACACCTTTAAGTGTAAAAAATATTGCTTTTTTTTGTTTTCAAATTTAGATTCTGAATGCTCTAAAGTGCAGTTTTTACAATGTAATAAATTATTATGGAATAACTAAAACCCAGTTACGAATGATGACTTATGCAAAAAGATCTACCGCTACGCAAATACGTATATGAATTCCAAATACAATACATGTACTGTTGCGTTCCTTCTAATATTTACCGAAAGGGCTTATTCTGCGATGGTTGGGGAGCACCAGATTATTGCAGTTATCGCAATAACCAATCAATTAAAGGAACTTCTGCAACGGGATGGGAGTTAAACTGAATTATTTACGGTTGGAGGGTCTCTCCGGTTGTTCTAGAGGTTTCCCGTGGCGATTTGTTCACAAATCGGCCTTTTCAAAATGACGAGGGGGTGTTTGAAGAATAGATAGAATAGAATTACTCTTGTAATAAGAGTCGATTTATTATAATAAAATCTTTATCCAACAATAATCGGTGTATCCGCAAACGTGATAGGACTTATTGACACGGCCTATTCAAGGGAATCAAAATTAATTTGACAGGACTTATTGATAAGGAAACAAAATCAACTTAACAGGACTTATTGGTACGGCCTGTTCAAGAAAAATAAAATCAAAATAACAATTTAAAAGAATTCAACAGATTATTTAGAGTGGAGGAGCATCCACTACTTGCAATTACTCATAAGGTTTGAAGTTTGCTCACGAAACGAAAGAAAATAATAGTGTATTCAAAATAATATTGTTATTACGAGTAAGAACTTTGTTATTTTATTCGGTTTTAAAGCACGATCAAAGCATGTCCTCAGCGACTTGAAGACGCTTCTATATACAATTTCGAATTACTACGCTAATCCTATGCTAATTCTAAGGTTAGTGATTTACATTTATGGTTTCTTTTAACACGACTAAACACTAATTGTTCGATTGTCTTTCGATTGTCCAGACGATTGTTATCCCTTTTTTATAGTTACTATCGTTACGTACATTTCGTCGATGCTCTTCAATTGTCCAGATTATTGTCGGGATTATCCTCTCGATAATCGTTACCGTTACGTGTATTAACTATCGTTCGACGCTCCCGATTGTTCAAATAATTATTGTGATTGTTACCCTCTCGATGATCGTCGTATATGTTATATTAAAAGAACGATGGAATGTTCGTAATTCGATATAAATAAATAAAAAAAGGTACTAGAACATGTAATATCTATTCCTAACGCTAACGAAATACGTACTTCTAAATTTGGTTTACAATAGAACTTACACAAGAAACTAATTTTGGAGGGATTTTCATGTAGGTCATTATGGAAAGATGTTCATGCGAAAATTAGGGATCAAAATTACGGAATTAGAGGATCTAATGGCGTTTCGGTAACAATAATTTGAACATTCAGAATGTCAGAGTTAACCTCTTTGAATTTGGTGCGGGCGGCAAGCTAAATGCAACTCCCCAGTTTATTGAATGTCCTATTCCAATGAAAATACAGTATCTCACTTAATGCAATTCACACGACTTATGGCAGAGTGATCATTGTGATTTAACAATGAGATAATTAATGTGGACTTTCTTATACACATACACCTAGTCAGAACCAATTGGCAACAGAAACCAGAGATGTTAAAGTCTGATCTGGTCTAGTTTCAATCTAGAGCTTAAAAGTTCAGTGGTTGAACTTGTTTAGCTCGAGTTCACAAACATCACAAACAGATTAAAGACCGAGTTTGAACCAACTGGTCCTATTTAATATATCTAATGCACATATTATTAATATCGATATCATATACTTATCTACAATTAAAAGTCTTAACATGAACCAGCTCTGAATGAACCGGGGTTTCATTAATTTTAATGGTAAAAAAACGTGATGGAACTGCATAGTTTGTTTCTGGACGAATAATAAAAAGGTTGTTCGGACAAGTTCATATGAACTACTTAACATTTCTAATAGAAACACGTAAATTTTATTCAATTTTTCGCAATTTTTGAAACAAAACAAACGTGATGAACTCTTAAATTCTTTTTTTATTTTCTTCATTATCTCACTTGTATGAAGTGTTTAAAATTCATCTGCGCTCCCGCATACTTGTAAACAATCCATCTGCGCAAAATTTTCTGTCAATACTTCACATTATTGAAATTAATAATTTTGAATATCAAAGTATGAATTTTTTTTATCTGCGCTACCAGTCTCCAATCTGCGGTACGCAGATTGCGCAGGTCAATTTTCAGCACTGCTTGTATGCATATACATATGATACCATAAGTTACAAATAACTAACAATCAAAATAAATTCAATTATTGGTGTCCTGGCGGAAATAATGGCGGAATAATTTTTACCATATATAGTTAGTCTCTTTTTAAAGACCGGCTAAACAAATTATAATATTTATATGATTCTCTCCCAAAATGCATTTGAGAACTACGGAATGCATATCCCTGATCTGGGCAGAATTTTGACAGTCAATTGTAACACAAAGTTAATCGACTCGTGCTTACAATTAACAAGTCCTCATTAAGAAATTGTATTAATAATATAAATTATCTAGCAGATTACCAGACATAGCAATTATAATACTCTTAGCATGCCAAATCGCGTTGACATGGAAGAAGAATATATTATGTATTGATTGTTTAAGAGCATAATATCCTACTTAGAAGCATTTCAAACATACAATTTTTTGAGTGGTTATTTTTAAAAATTCGGACTTTTTTAACCGCCATTGCTTTCCGCCAAAACTGTATGGATGTTAAACGTTCGGTCCGATCTCAGGACTGCGATTTTTGGATTTGACCCAGTCCTGAAATCGGTCTTTTAGCATATTAGCGGCCCTGTTAAAAATCTATACACGCAATAAAAATTCCGAGTCATAAGAAAAATTTATGGGTAATTATTCGCTAACAATAATTATTTCACTATAATTTGCTATATAATAACCATTCCTATTACCAAAAAAAGAGAAATAGCTAGCTGTTTCTGTTTAGGATGAGCTTGTGGTCTATATTATTTCTTATAAACAAATTATTTCACCATTTTCCCACAAATTTATCAAACACAAGGAAGTGCGAGCTGTCTATTCAAAGATATAGTTATGCAAGAGACTAATTGTATTCATTGCAATTGAAAAAACATGCTCACTATACAAGTAGAAAAGGATTAGTACACTGATGGAGTGGTTTTTGTGAGTCTCTAGAGAAATTACAGATTTATAGCTATTAATTAATCATTGATCTTTCAATCCATTCTGGAACTGATTCTCACGAATTATTGTATTAAATTCGTGCAACTTTTCTGTACTATATATGAAAATTAATTTTATATAAAATTAGAAAAGCTTTATCAAATTAAATCTAAAAATTTATGTTAAAATATGTAATATTATCT